CACATTTATTTTATCAAAAAAATAAGTAAGTTACGTTTCACTAATGAGCTAAGACCTGGGCTTGCCCAGGAGCTACGACCATTCTTCTGGTACCTGTGGTGACTTGAGGAGGCAGATGGATTGAGAGCAGTGCTTTGTGGTTTCATTTGCTTTTAGCAAATTCCAATTTATTGTGGCTTCTGAGAGTTGAAACCACTTTGCCATTTTGTGAGGGTTGTTAGTTAAGAGAATATAATCCTTTTTATCCAAACTCTCAGATTTGACCCTAGACCTTATAGCTCTACAATGATGAGCCAAATAAACCTCTTTGTAAAATGGCCTGCCTCAGGCATTTCATTATAGTAACAAAAATGGACTTAATACATTAAATGACTACCTGAGGTCATATAGCCAGTCAACATTCCAGCATGATTAGAAGAGGTTCAAGAGCCCCTACCTCTAATTGAGGAACTATTGAGAGTTGATGGCTTCTAGGGTAAGTTTTCTTTAATGGTGTGACCCCCCTGGTAGGTCAACCATGCTCCAGTGGATGGCCCCACACTCATGAGTATATTGGCAGCACATATTGGATTTGGTGAGTTATATTTTTTAAAAAAGAAGAGGACACAAAGTTGGGAAGGGATGGGGAGGTAGGGATGGATTTGGAAGGAGTTGGGAGGGAAGTCAGGGTGGGGGGGGTGACTGATCAAAATATATTGCATGAAATTCTCAAAGAATTAATAAAAATATTACTTTAAAATATTCAGTTTTTAAAAACATAGACATAAACTCAGCCAGAGCACTGGCATCAATTACAGCATCTAGATTTTTTTTTTGGCCTTTTTGAGACAGGGTTTCCCTGTAGCCTCAGCTGGCCTGGAACTCTCTACTTAGACCAAGCTGGCCTCGAACTCACAGAGATCCCTCTGCCTCTGCCTCCTAAGTGCTGGGATTAAAGGTGCATGCCCAGCCAGTATCTAGATTCTTAAACATCACCACAGAGCCGACTGTCAGCGTTCAAATCTGTGCTGTTGCTGGCTACCTCTGTGACCTTGCGTTGTCATTTAATGTATTAGTCCATTTTTGCTATTATAGTTGAAATGCCCGAGGAAGCCATTTTACAAAGAGGTTTATTTGGTTTATTTTGGCTCATCATCCTGGAGGTGCAAGGTCTAGGAGCCACATCAGATGATGGGTTTCTTGCTAGCAAAGTCTCAAAGTGGCTCAGAATATCACATGGCAAGAGATGGGAAACTCAAGTGTGTGTCTTTTGTTTCTTCTCTCATAAATCTACAAGGGTCCAAAAGATGGACCTTCACCTTATTGACCTTATGCATCTTAATCACTTCCTAAAGGCACCACCTCTAAACAGTATGCTTGGATTAAACTTCTACCCTGTGAATACTTCACATCAGAGATTAAATTTCATCAGGTGATGCCTTTAGGGCTACTCACACCATATCTGTACTAGCTACATTTTTGTTGCTGTGATAAAATACTGCGACCAAGGCAACTTACAAAAGGAAGAATTTATTTGGCTTATAGTCCCAGAGAGGTAAGAGTCCATCATGGTGGGGGAAGGGGGCATGGCAGGACGCAGCCAGAGTAGACAGTGGAGAGCTCACATCTTCAAGCAGGTACAGGAGAGAGACAAACTTGTAGGAATGACTTATAATATGGACGTAATGTGTACTAAAGTCTTTTACCTAACCTTGTAACCAAAAAGTTACTATCTATAATATAAACAAATTCACTGAGACATGTGCCTTTCTTGTGACCTGGGTATATGACATTAATCCCTCAAGTCTCCTCCTTGCCCTCCCCCAAGATAGTGAATGAATGTGTGTGTGCATGCTCTACATACTAAAGTGCTGTAAGCAGCCTGCGTTTGCATTGCAAACAATGCGAGAAATTGAGAAATGTCTGTTTGAGGTTGTAGGTCTAGGAATCAAAGGGCAAGACTCTCTGATAAAATAAGGGTGGGTCTTGACTTCTACATCCCCATTTCTTGTTGAAGATACTGTTTCAATAAAAGAATGAGCAAGGAGCACAGTTCTGAGAGGCATCTGAAGGAGTGTGTGCTTGTCAGTTTAGATGCACTCTTGGCCTTAAAAGGAATGCTAATAGTCAGGCTGTTTTATTTTATTAATTTTATGTGTATTGCCTGCATGTGTATAAGTGTACCTATGTCTTGAAATGTCTGTAGAAGTCAGAAGAAGGCATCAGATCTCCTGGAACTGGAGTTATGGGTGGTTGTTAGCCACCATGTGGGTGCTGGGGATTGAACCTAGGTCCTTTGTAAGAGTAGTCAGTACTCGTAACACACTGAACCATCTCTCCAGCCCCTAGGCCATCTTTTATTAAACATTGCCATGATGTGGCTTAATAATGCTGAGCATACTGGAAGTGGGACAAAACTATAGATTTTCAAAGCCTGCTCCCATAGACATGCTTCCTTCAGCAAAGCTTCACTTCCTGAAGGTTCCATGACTTTCCCTAAACAATGCCACCAACTGGGGACCATATACCAAGTGTTCAATTCCTTGAGCCTATGGGGGAAAATTCTCATTCAAACCACTACAATATCCAACAACAGCATCTGCTTGTTCTGCACCTCAGTTTCCTTACCTATGAAATACAGATAATGATTTTATCCACTTGAAGGATAGCTGCGAAGATTAGATGATTTTTAATAGATTTAAGTGCTTAAACTCCAGTACATAGCAAGCACTCAACATATATTGACTGATAATTTACTGTGCACTTGAAATGTAGCCTCCATTTAGCAAAGAACTGGAACTTGGAAATGCCAGATTCTACTAGCAGTATGGTTCAATTTATAAAATAAAACTTTCATATAATGAAAATGCTATATAATATTTTAAGGACATATAAAATGAATAAAAGTCTTTATATATACAAAGTTTGTATATATAGATTTTGTGTATTGTAATAAATTGTGTGAAACAAAAAATATAAAGATGAGTTAGAGGTTTGGGGAAAGAGCAGAGTCTTGGAATATTGTAACCCAGGCTGGCCTCACACAATCCTCCTCCTCAGCCCCTTGAGTGCTGGATTACAGACACTCATCACCATTCTTGACAAGCTAGGGATTTTGTGACTTTTTATCATATGTTATTTAATTTTCAAAATGTAAGACAAATGCATGGAATCTATTCCTTCATGTCACGGTGGTATTTAACAGTACGTGGTAAAACGATGTCTTTAGAAGAATATTGAGAGCATTTTGATTTCCAACACAATGCGATTTTATTGCTAGAAAAGATATACTTAACATGTAAAAACTGCCATATTTTTATGCTTTAAAATGTAGAAACAGAATTTTCTTACTTGCTTAAAGTCTATCAGTGAAAACGTTAGTATTTTGTATGTAATTGTTTAAAATACAAGAAATTTAAGGCTATGATTGATATCATAGAGGTAGAAAATTTACCTAGCCTGATTTCAATAAAAATATACTTTCATTAGCTGGGTGTGGTGGTGCATGCCTTTGATTCCAGCACTTGGGAGGCAGAAGCAGAGATATCTGTGAGATCCAGGCCAGCTTGCTTTACATAGTGAGTTCCAGGTCAGCTGGAGACAGGGAGATTCTGTCTCAAAAAAAAAAAAGAAAGAAAAAGAAAAACAAAACAAAACAAAAAAACAAGTATATCCTTGCAGTAAACGTGTCCAGTCATGCTTATATGCTCTTTGCATCTGTGTCTTTATAAAAGATTGTTTTCAATCATGGCAACTATAATCAAGTATTTGCACTATAAAGAGCTGAACTATAACTTGAAGAAGTAATTGAAGCTTTTAGTGATAATGCAATCAGGAGCTCTGCCCTGTAGATCACATGGGCCTTGTGTGCCTCTTCCCAACCTCAAGCCTCTGAATAAAATGGTTTGACTTCAAAAAAGAAATGGAAGCTGGGTGTGGTGGTTGTATGTCTGAAATCTCCTCACTGAGGAGGTTGAGGTAGGAGGATTAAGCGTTTAAAGCCAGTCTGAGTGACATAACAAGAACTTGACTCTTTTTTTCTTTAGGCAATTACTATCATCTTTATTTTAATCCATACAAATAACTGCTTGATCTCAGATTTGTTAGGTCCATGACAAATCTTTGTGGGACAAAGCACAAACAAGTTTTAAAATTTTTTGTTTATTTATTTACAGTTTATTATTTTATGTGTATGAGTGTTTTGTCTGCAATGTATGTAGGTGCACCATTTGCATGCAATGCCACAGAGGCGAGAAGAGGGTGTTGGATCCCCTGGAATTGGAGTTTCGGACAGTTATTAGTCACCATGTGGGTTCTAGGAATTGAACTTCAGTCCTCTGGAAGAATAGCAAGTGTTCTTAACCAATGAGCCATCTTTCCAGCCCCTCAAACAAGTGTTTTAGAGACAAGATTTTCATTCTGTAGCTCAGGGTGGCCTTGAACCCCTGGTGATCTTCCAGCTATGATTAGAGGGATGAATCACCATGCATGATTTATGTGGGCTGGGGGTCAAATCAAGGGTCTTACACGTGCTATATAAGAATTTTACTGAGCTACATTGCCAATCCCTAAATATTCATTTTAATAAAGATGAGCTGGTCACATGTCTAATTGAAGCACTCAGGAGGGCTGAGACCAAACTCCTACACAATACAGGGACACCTGTTTCCCCAAAAATGAGACAGATGTGCCCATACTTTTCAAACTCACATTTCAAGAGGTTCCTTAAAAATTATTTTACCAAGTTGAGGATAGTTTGGTAGTGTTCTTGCTTAACATGCATGAGGTCCTGGGTCCATTCCCAGTACTGCCAAAACAAAACCAAACTTCGCCAAATTGTTCCTAATTGAAGACCCTCAAATCAAGCATTAGGTGAATGCAGAGGTTGTGTGGACCACCTTTTTTCCTGAGTGAGTGAGTTATTTGGAATTGTGAATTTGTTCTGCAAATCCAGGTATTTATCAATTAGTAGAACACATTTAAAAAACATGTAGCATTTACTCCAAGACTGAGTTATTTAAGACAGTTTCCTGCATGGATTCTCTCCTCAGTCATTGTCCACAGTACTCCGAGAAGTTGGGGAATAAGCAAGCACAGACTCAAAGCCCAGCTTCATCTCCAGTGTTGTGAAAAGGGACTGTATGTCATGGGACAGAGCCTATGTTCCCATGAACAACTAGGAAAGACCTTGTCTTTAAAAAAGCAAAAAAAGTAACTGAGAATATCCATAGTCATGTTGCACTCTGTAAGCCAAATTATTTTGTAGCATTAATGAATAAAATAAATGTAAAGCATTACTTTAAATGTTCATATTACACGTTTTATATTTGCAATATTTGTAGTTTAATAGTACTCATATAATTTCTTGAAAATAAATATCTCTTTATTAGCATAAATATCCAAATAGTTTATTTTGATAGAGTTATGTAGAGATTGACTCAAAGTACAAGACAGGTCTTAATTCCCTGTAATTGAGTACTTAAGCTATTTCTGGTATTTTTATTTCACTTTTTTTTTGGTTTTTCTTTATGAGACAGAGTCTCCCTATGCAGCCCCCAGATTACTCATTCTTCTGAAAAGAGTGGGCCTACAAAGAATAAGCCAGCCAGGGGAGAGACGAGGAGTACCCTGGGAAGAGGGATGGAGAGTGAGCAGATGGAGTTAGTGGCGGCCATGTTGGAACTCCGAGGGAACTCCAAGATTGGCGACTGGCAGGGCTGTCCCACGGGGCGTGGGACTTGAATGGCTCAGAGGTTATGAGAAGCCATTTCTTTGTAAGTCCCCCCCTCCCAAATGTCATGTAAACTATGCAAAATTCAAGTAGGATGTGGGTGTGGGCTCGAGTCTCCTAAGAAGGGAGGGAAAAGGAAAAAAGAATTAGTGAAACACCCCAGTAGCCTCAGCTGGTCTGAAACTTGATGTGGAAACCAGGCTGGCCTCAATCTCACAAAGATCAGCCTGCTTCTGCCTCCTAAGTGCTGGGGTTGAAGGCGATGCCACCATGCCTGGTTCTCGATATTTTTAGTTTTTAAAAATAATACAGTGAGTATCATTTGCCACTTTTCTGCTTATTTCCTAGGGACAGACTCTTGGAAGTGGGGCATTTAATCAGAATATGCTTATTTTAAGGGATTGGCTTATGTTTACTTATACAGTTTTCGATTTTCATAAAGCTAATAATTAACATGTTCTATTACAGTCTTGTTACTGTGACAATAAACCTGTCTGAAACAACTCAAGGAAGGAGAGGTTTGTTTAAATTCACCATTTCAGAGAGATTTCAGTTCAGACGCTCATGGTGGGGAAGGCTTGGTGGCCATTCAGTTGATGTAGGATTGTACAAAGGAGGTGTGTCATGGTACTGTGGGCCAGGAAGCCAAGAGCAGGATGGGAACCAGGCTGGGTATAACCTACTTTCTCCAACTAGGGCTAACCTCCTAAAGGTTGCACAGTCTTTCAAAACAGCATCATCCCCTGAGGAATAAGTGAAACACAAACTTGGGGTGAGAGGGCATTCCAGATTCACACCCCAGTACATGCCTAGAGAGGCTGTCCTCCAGCCCTTGGGTTTGTTTTAACCTGACTTTATTCTCTTGTTGGCCTATCTGGGAGCAGCAGTGCACCCAGGCTCTGAGGAAGATGACTTTGGGTGGGAAGCCAAATGACCACAGGCGATGGCCACAGGGGCAGTCTTTGCCTTGGGTCCTTCTGTGAGGCTAAGCTCCCTGGAGACTCAGGTGCATGAGCCTCTGGTTGTGGGGTGGTGATCAGTGCAGGGTGCTGTGGGGATGTGGTCATCTGCACAGAGGGGTTGAGGCAGGAGGGCAGGATGAGAGTCCTTTCTGGAAAGCTGTCTGTAGGAGCTCCCACATGACAGGGCATGGATTACAGCCCACCATGTCTAAGAAGCAAAGGCAAGTGGGGCTCATGGTTCAAATCTCCATGTTTTACTCCCTGTGAGCAGGCATATTGCTTCCTATTTACTTATTTGGTGTGTGTGTGTGTGTGTGTGTGTGTGTGTGTGTGTGTGTGTGTGTGTAGGTTGGAGCCCCCTTTAAATGACTATTAGCATTCACAGTTATTAATTATTATTGGTTTTTTGAGATAAGGCCTCACTATGTAGCCCTGGATGGCCTGGAATTTCCTATGTAGACCAGGTTGGCCTCACAGAGATCTGCATGCCTCTGCCTCCCAAGTGTTGGAATGAAAGGTGTGCACCACCATAGCTGGCCTAGAGTTGTTTCTTTTTGTGGAACCAGTCCAAATCTCTTAGTCTTTTTAAAAAAATATTTTAGCTGGGCGAGGTGGCGCATGCCTTTAATCCCAGCACTTGGCAGGCAGAGGCAGGCGGATCTCTGTGAGTTCGAGGCCAGCCCGGTCTCCATAGTGAATCCAGGACAGCTGGGGCTACAGGGAGACCCTGTCTCAAAAAGACCAAAAAACAATTTTATTATCATCATTATTATTTTACAGAGCATAGGGTAGGGGTTTATTTACAGAAGAGTGGGCACCCCACATTTAGAGCTGTGCCATAAAGTCCACTCTCAAATACAGATCCTGTGACCTCCTGACAGCTGCACAAAATGGTGAAAGAGGTGCCTCTCAGTGTTCTCAGCTTATATAGCCTTTGCCCCTCTCCCCACATTCAGCTAAGGTTGACTGATTGGATGGGAGGGGTAATTGACTCCCCCCTAGACTCCTTGATGAGCATGGGAAGGAGGTGCAACTATAGCTTGCCAGTATAGTGGTTGGAGGACATGTCCAGGTAACACTCCACCCCTTCCTCTGGCTCTTACATTCTTTCCACCAACCTCTTCCACAAAAGTCCCTGAGCCTTGGAGGGGGTGGTAGGTGTGGGATGATCTTCCTCTTGTTGTGGCAAGGCACTGAACTTTTGGGTCTTTGCATCATCTGTTTCCTATGGGCTGTTGGCCAGTTTTAGTGGGATTCCATCTACTATAGAAACACACACAGCAAGAAGCAAGAACATCTAAACAGTGACTGCTATATTAACCTATGGGCATAAACACAGATGCTTGGTCAGTACTTTAGCAGGTGCATCATTTCCATCTAACAAAGCAATTGCAGTGACTTCCCACTGGGGCCTATATTCTCTCCTGTCACAGGGGGTTGGCCAGGTCTACAGTACCAGATATGTGTTCTACCCCTAGGAGTGGGCATTATATTTCATTGAAAATTTTCTGGTTGTACATACATTAGATGCTTCACTATTGCACCAGCAGGAATATCTTGTTTGATGTGTTGGTAGTGCAACACGTGGGGTCCATCCTTGAGGAGAATTATAGGGGCTATTATTTCCCAGTTAACTGCATGTTGCCTTTTGGCACCATGAAAGCCACCTATCCAGTGGCAGGGAGTTTCCGGCTTAGTTCAAGCTTGATTTCTCCCTCTCCCATGCTCACATCATGCAGTGTCTTCAGCAATAGAGTTTTCCCTTCCACTTCCGGTGTACAACCAACATTATTGGCAATAGCCTTTATTGTTTTGGGGACCTCTACTGACCTTCAGGCCAACAGCTCATAGGAGGCAACCCAAGGTAAATCTCTTAGCCTTTTTAGTTGACTAATAAAATTTCCACACAGCAATTGCTCTTGTTTGCCTTTTTTTTTTTTTTTAAATGTATGATGCATTTCCTTGAACTGAGCATGCTCCGGGTGGGGTGTAATGATTCGTCTGTTCTATATGAATACATATGAGTTTCCCCAATAAAAGTCATTTGCTTTATTTGTTTAGGAAGGCATTGTTTGGAGGAATTGCTCTACCCTCTCTTGTGGAGGTACTAAACTTCTCTTCACTCTTTTATCCCCAGTGATGGTTTTCCATAATGAACTCATGAGTGAATGAAACTTTGACCATTGTGTTTGGTGTCCAAGGGGCATGGTGGGTGGGAGTATGGGGACAATGACTTGGTCAGAAGGACATTTTGGTGCTGCTCTCTACCACTTGGGCACACGGAGCCTTACTTCTCTGTAGGGAGGGACCTTGGGGGTCAGATGGGATGGATAGGGCACTCTGCATCCACTTCTGATTGTAGCCCCACAGGAAGTCCTTGCCTGGTGCCTCAGCAGCTCTACATGACCTTCTTCCTGGTTGAGTCTTCCAATCACACTTGAGTCTGAAGGAGATCTTTGGGAACGTATGCTGGCCTAGAGAGGGGTGGGCAACTGTGCCTCTCACAGGGAGAGGGCTTGGAGAGATGGAGAGTCCTTGCTTCAGGCCACTGCCCAGGTCTCTAGGCAATCCTCAGCTACACTCATTCTCGTTCTCTCCCTCTCACCCAACAGACATGAAAGTGGCTTAATGCCAATGGCTGGTTGGAGGTTAGAGGGTTTGGAGAGGGTTCTACCTAAGGTTCTATACAACCTTACAGGTAGGCAGAATTTCGTCAGAATCAAGTTCACCACTTTGTAGGTCTAGAAAGTCAGTTTTACCCATTCAAGACTGATTCATTCTGAGAGGGCATAAGATACTGATTTATAAACCTGAAGGCCAAAGGCAAATTATGCCCTAAGCTAGACTGGGTGTGGGAGATCAGCACTCATATCCCCCACCTCTCAGGCAAATTTAAGCCCAGATGGAGATCTCCTCAACCTCAGAGCTGTACCTCTTATCCTCTAGTCTAAAAGGACCACTGGCCACACAGTAGACAGTGTTTACTAATATCAGTGCCTCTCCTGCTTAGAGAAAGGCCATGTTATTTCATAGTACTTCAAAGAAAACTCCACTCCTTGCATTGGATTCAAAGGGTCTTTGAGGTCTGGTCTGTCTCTCTCCATCTTTTCCTCCCACCATCTCTGAATGCTGCGCTGTTCCTTCTCTTCCAAACTGAAGGCTTCACACTGTTACTGCACTGGGAACCTCTGACTGCAATGCTCCTGCCTGGAGTCTGAGGTCTCTAGGGGGAATAGCCCTTGTCATATAGTCCTGTCTACCCTTGTCAGGTAGTCCTATCCACCCTTGAGCCAGTCACTGATGGAGTGGGCTCCATTGAATATGGTGGGAAGAGTTCTGGACTCTGGGGGAGGGCATGAAATGGAATACATTTTAGTCCTTTTTCTTTTCCTTTACAGAGTGATACAATGTTAAGCAACCTACTATAGCAGAATAGCTGGTATTCACTAGAGAGTGGAACTAGGTCTTGCCTGAGAAGGAAAACCTCCCCAGATTCTGTATAGAACCCAATGTTACCTCTACTGTAGTGAGCTCTCAC